AGCACATCATAGTCAGCAGGGTCGACGTAGGTCTGAAAAATAATTAATTATAAACGAAGTAACTAAGTAGAGATGAAATTAAGAACTTATTTAGGTTAACTACTTAAAATGTGAGCCGTAAGGAAGTCCATACTCTCGGTCCCTCAAAGTGATTAATTATTGAACAGCTGCATACAAACTTTTCCAAAGTAGGTAATCATAAGTAAAGACGTTAACTTAGATATGAGTAAATAAAAATTTCTATTAATCCGGTGGGCTTTGAGTAAATTTTGGCAAATATGACCAAAGTTGGTTAAGATGCTAATTTAACCCTAATATATCCCCAATCCCTATAAATTCATTTATCCGTCACTTTCACAAGAAAACTTTTTTAAAGTGCTTTAATTATGCTGAAATGTATTAATAGAAAGTCAGGCTTAATAATTCCTACTTTTTTAAACCATTTTCTTAGAGTTAGAATGTATAATGGCGGAAAGCTATTAAAAATGTCCAGCTTATAAACAGTTAGTAAAGTGCAGAAATGAAAGCGCGTTTTCAGAGTGCTTGTTAATCACACAAATATTGACCTACTAATAATTATTAAAAATATAAGTCACCTAGACTTATGAAATCAGATCAAAATAGCCAGAATCTAGGCAAAGAGAGGTGTGAGGTTGAGGGACTAATTACTCACGGAAGGTCCGCCCCGCCTAGCGGGACGACATGCCTCGGTCATTAGATCAAGAGGGCTTTCACGAAAGCCGGCTAGCATAGCGGCTTCAGCAAGGCGCCGGAGAAACCAGAATTCAGCATCCAGTCGATCCCTTTGGGCAGGAGTGGCGAAAAATGGATCTACAATAAGTGAATTAATGCCGGGCAGATGGCCCTTGTCGAATCCTGTCTGATCGGCAATGGGAGAACCATGAGGGATTTGCGATGTGGATATTGGATGCATCAGTAACTTGTGCATATGGAGATAAAGAGATAATACAAAGGAGGGGACTCACATTGTAAAATAGTTATTCAGGTCAGAACATTTGATAGTTAAGACAAGTTAAATTTCATTGATTTCAGAAAGACCTTACTTTCTAATAATATTGCGCTGTAGGTGATTGTCAAGCTATTAATAAAAGAAATCAATGATGAATTTTTCTGAAATTACTAATAACA